TACTGCTAATTGCAGTGCATGCATTTAACCGCAGGCAAAGCCAGCTCAGCTGTCCGTGCCTCCTCCTTTGCTTGTCAGGGGGACAGGTCGTTTCTTTACACAACCCAGCAACCACATGTGTTGGTGTCTCAGGCCCTGTTTTAAACCTCTGAGGTGAGTTTATGGCCTTGTTTCAGTGCTCCCTGGATCGCTGATCTGTCACGTTGCTGCAGGTACGCTCCCTCCTCCTCTCCTATGCCCAAGTGAGCTCGTTTGCCTGCAGTGATGGAGTACTGTGGCTAATTGGAGGAAAATGGGAAGGCTGTGTATAGCTGAGCAGCTCTCTGCAGGTGGTGGGTAGATGTGACCTACTTGTCAGTGGAATCATCCTGCTTGCTTGGAGACCCGTGAGCTATTTTGACAGCTGGAGTGAGCTGACCTCCGCGAGGTATCTGGGAGGAAGTAAAACCACTGAAGCTGAGGATCTGCCCTGCTGCCGTCAGCTGGCTGTGCTTACGAGAGGGGTCTTGCCTCCCACAGCCGTGTGAGGGAGAAGCAAGCTGTCTGGAAAGCAAGGGTTGGTGTACTGGATAAGGGCAAGGCGTAGAAGGGGCAGGAGGAAGTTATGTCTTTTCCATTTGGCCATCGTGATATTCCCTCGGGAGTTTTTTTTGCTTCCACAGCTGGATTTTTGTTTGACTATGTCACTACTTCTTCCCTATGTAGTCTCTGAATCAGGAGCCTGTCTCTTGGTAAGGGCCCTAAAACGACACGCGCCTCATGGCGTGTGTTTTCTAACGACTACTTTCTGTTAGCAGGCACGTGAAGGCTCGGGATGGAGAGAGGTGGTGAGGGACACAGGTAGCCTTCTCCTGCCTGACCTAAACACGCAGACGGGAGCGTTGGGTGAAATCCCGTGCTCGGTGTAGTAAGCTGCCCGTCCAGCGAGTGCGTAGGTGAAGCAGTGAGCGTAGGCTGCCCTGTGCACGAGGGCAGTACTCCAGCCGAGCCGTTGTGAACTGGCCTGCTCGTTTCCTAGTTACCAACAGTAGGAAGACGGACCACCGCACTGAAATGGCTCCAGCTCCGGGGCTGGGTGTTGCTGCTAGCCCGGCAGGCCTTTTTCCCTGCTGTGCTGTGACTTTTCATCATATGACAGAAACCTTTTTTTTCTGCCCCTCTTTTGCCGGGTAAATAGTGCCAAGTGCAGTATTCTCTTTTCTTTGCCGTGGATTAATGGATCCCTTATACTCAAAACCTGCCCTTGGGGGAGGCAAATCTAGCCTTTGAGTCCTCTTTGCTGCCACAGGCAGTGGCGACAGCAGCTTGCTGCCCCCGTTTCTCAAGGGAATCGCCACTCTCCTGTTTTTCCCTCTCGTGTCTCCTTGGCTGTCTCCGTTGCGGCAGGTGCAGGAAGCAATGTCTGGTTGCTTGGGCAGCATTTGGTGAGGGCAGAGGGCCAGTTAGTAGTGGTGCTACATTAGCCAGTGCTCGCCTGCTGTGCAAATGCTTATTAAAACCATTTTGCTTTATATTTTAGTCTGAAAGTCATCGAGCATGTTCAGGCAGATGTGTGAGCTCTATTTATTTCCTCTGCTCCATGAAATGATATAATTACAGCCAGCAAAGTTTTGTACTTCCCCAAAGCTATGGGCAAACTCTATGTTACTTTCTAGGATGCCAAGGGCAGCGCTACAAAAAATAGAGGCAGTATGCAACTAGTTTCATAGGAAATTTCTATTTAATCTACTTTTTAGAGTAAAAGTGCTCCAGAGGGAATCTTAGGTGTTTGTATTCCATGATTCTTAAGAACAAGTCAGTGTTTGTATTGGTGGGTTTCCAAGCGTACTGGTGTAATGGCACGATGCAAGAGAAGGCACCCCTCGTGCATCATTTCCAGCAGACTTCTCTCGGATGATGTAAATCAAATGCTAAGAAATACTTGTAATGACAGTAACTTAACTACAGAACTGGCTTTCAGGTCTTGCTACACCAGAGAGATAATGCTGCACAGTTCCCTTTGTTTAGATGTATGGTGGGAAATTCAAGGAAAGAAACAGTTATGACGGGATTCTCGGCAGCCAAGTACAGGTCCTGGTTGTACTGACGGTTTCCTCTGAAATGTGCTCAGCGTCCCAGGAAAGTATTTGAGTCCTGTAGAAGTTAGCACCAAATTCAGAGTTACAGCTCAGCCATTATCCCCAAACTCAGTAGGGGCCTGGAATATTTATGGAGTAAACTTAGGGAAGAAAAAAAAAAAAGATAGTTCTGAATCAAATTCTTGCTCTTAAACTTGTGTATTACTTACTTCCTAGTTAAATAAATGCCCTTGCTTCCTATACTGTTGCATGGCTGACTTTGCATGGCTGTCAGAGTGTTCTTAAATGCTCTTTGCTCTGACAGGAATCCTGCTACTGCCACAGTGAAGCACCAGACCCTGTGTGTGCACCAGCCAGAACCATTTTAGCCTTTGGGCTTCTGAGGCGACTCAGAAAGGAAGTGTCGCCTGCTTTTTCACATTTTACTTGTTAGATGTGGGAGCAAATCACATGTTTACCTTCTGAGGGCTGTTTGAATACCCCTGCGTTAATAGTTGCTGTCTCTTCTGCTGCAGAGCAGGATCCTAGAATTGGGATTTTCCGTAGATGCTACCATCTGCTGCTTTTCAATGGAAAGCAGGTAGACTTACTTTGGCTAGGGTAAAGGCAAGTTAAACTTATTACTTCAAAAAATGTTTGAGCCTAGGAAGGGGAAATGAATGCCTCTTTATCCCTTGTTTTAATGCATAACATTTGCTATATATACCAAAACAATTTTAAGATGCTAAAACTGCAGTGGCCTTTTCCACAGAAGTGTCTTTAAATATGGTATTTCTTGTTGTTAGAAGAGCAGAATAAATAACAGCAGCTGTGTATTTTAAAATTATGTTGTTAATAAAATCCTGGTACATTTACATAAATGACAACATTAATGTACAATTAACAAAGCATTGTAATATTACAGCAACAAAAGAGGACCTACATATTTGTACAGATAGGTGGAGCAGCTACTTGAAAATACTTTCCAAGATAAAGCCTTTTGTGGTATTTTTCAGGCAGACCAGTGATAATTTTGAAACACCTGTATGGCTTTCTGATAATAAATAGGGTTATTGAAGCTGGTGATCTTCAAAAATGAATGTGTACCTAAAGGACAAATTGGAGTGTGCCCTGACCAACTTGTCTGTCAGCTTACTGAGCCTAGACTAACCATTATTATTCTTGCATGCAATTTACCTCTCATGTAAATCCTTTAGGAATGAGGCGATGTCAGATTTTGATGGATTTGTTGGGAGATGCTGGAGTTTGTTCTCCTTCCCTTCATCTACCTAAACCATGTCTATGTCATGCTTTGAAGCTTGGGCCCAGCTGAGCCTCCTTCTTCCAGTGTGTTCAGTTACAATATTAATTGTTGAATTTCTAAGGAGCAGTAGTTCTCCACTGCAACCTTGGCTTCCTCTTCTCCTTCACCCACCTATAACGAATGAAAGCATCTTAGCAAATGCTTTTGGTGGGTGCTAACAAAGATCAGTGGGAATATCTGAAGGTCTTTCCTTAAAGCTATTGGTAAGAGCAAGGTCTGTGTTTTTACACAACTAACTGTGTTCCTATGGTTGGGATTATTTAAGATAAAAAAACCACACACAAAAACATTGCTTCAGACTCCAAACTGTAGATTGAACTGCCTCCTTTTAGTTCTCCTATGTCAGCTAGAAGGCGGCCTAGAATGAGTCCTTTTGGACCAGAAACATGTCTAATGCGAACAAAGGAAAAATGTGAATCTTGGGCATTTGAGTCGAGCCATCTTGTTTTAAGTGCTGCTGCCTAAATGTCAGGCTGCAGCCTACCTCGAGGAAGCAGTCAGGTGTGCACTATGCCCAGTCCCCCCTGAGGTAGCATATCTGTGGAAACAACATCCTTCCATGGATGAGGCTGTGGAAGTGGAGACTATAGAGGTCAGAGCTTCTTAATCCCAACTAGCTCCAGCGAGAGAACAACCATCAAGCTGTATGTTCCTCAGGGTCTTGGGGAGATTTTTATTGCCATTTATGCTATTGGACAGTTTTTCAGCATAGTGCTAGCTCCTACTACACCTGAGTCTCTTAGAATCTTTTATGGTGTCAGGTCTCACAGATAATGTTCAGAAACAGGTTTTTAAGGTAAAAGTGATTGGGACTATCAAACATCAATAGTGGAAAGGGTAGACAGCTTTTTTTTCCCTGCCTCAAAATAGATCCAGATTAACAACTAGCACAGTGAAACTGTATTAAAAAAATAAAAAAACCAATCCTCTCCTCCCTGCCCCAGCTCAGTTCTTCATATTAGGTTTAAAGAGTGAGTCATTTCAGAGTTAGTATTAGTATCTACTCAGCTTTGAACATTATAAAATATCTCTCTTTCAAGGTGCAAACAGTTTGGGGGAAGATTGATGGCAGTCTCTCTTGACATGTATAGACACTGGTGGTTTTTACTACAGTGAAGTAGTTTGCGTACACCAGCCTTTGTGTTCAGACAGATGACTCGTTGAATGGGCAGTGGTCCATAGGATTAGAAAACTCCTTCTATGCAGCCTTTTTACAAGTAAAACATCTATGCGTATGAACTAGGTGGCCATTATGGTGTGTAGACAGACACTTAAGACTACATATTAGGTGTTGGGTCTAGGTAAATTGCCTCGCTTCTCTACAGCCCTGCATTGTGCTTGTTTAAATGGCAGCGTAGATCTTCTCTTCGGTTCAGGTTCTTCACTTGCATCCTCAGGTCTTGTTTGCGCTGTGACAGTGTTTCTGTGACAGTAGTAGCACAGAGAAGCCAGCTCCCCCTCCGTCAGTGGGACGAGGCACAGCACCCTTGCCTAGGGGTTATCTGTTGTAGGGGACTTTCAGCAAGATCCAGAAGGCAAAGAGGAAAGCCACAGCTTTGCCTGACGACGCATCCCCGTGCAGTTTGAACCAGTGCTCCTGCCACTGCCTTGCTCCTGCTTCACACCCTGGAGGTGACGTACACGGAGTGCAGGCGGCCGGCCAGGGTTGTCTGCAAGTCCCGCAGAGGGTCCAGGCCTTGCACTTTGCTGTTTCTGCTGTAGATCAGCTGTTTGAATGAGTCCTGTTCTAGAAGAGAGCTCATGTGTTTGAGGAAGAAGCCCTCACAAAAGGAGGCTAGTTCAGGCGCGTTGTGAATCTGCAGGAGAGAGGAAGATCAATTAGCCTTTTCTGTTATGTCACAGACCTAAAGGACATGCCTGAGCCTCTTCTCATTCTAATGCTGTTCCCTTTAGTGTTTTCTAAGACAGAAAAAGGACGGTAATAACAGTGGAGAAGCACTGAAGGTAGGACCAGCGATGGCCCATAATTTCTTTTGGTGCTTTTTGCAGGCACAGGTGTGAGCAGGAAGGCATTCAAGCTCTTTTAATTCCTTCCCCTGATGGCCTGCTGTTGGCAGAGCTGCTGGCCTGCACTCACGTCTCTTCCTCTTAAAGGAGCAGAGCAGCTGGCTGATGAAGTGGCCAAGATACCTGTTTAGCTGTGCAGGCGGGGAGTTCGTGGGCCGCAACATAAAACCCTGTGCTGCCAGATGGTGTGCACAGCTCGTGGCAATAAGAATATGGTTGATAGGATGCAAGCCTAACTCCTAAAAAAAGGAGCTTAATGTAGGAGAATAGGGATGTTACACTTCTAAAGCATGTTAGGTGGATTTCTGGCTGTGATCTGGTACCCTTTGCTTCAGAAGCAGTGGGGGAAGCTCAGTAATAGAACAATGAAACTCAAGTTCAGTATTTAGAAGCACTGTGCACACACATATCCCTGTTTCTGGAAACTTTGTGCAAATAGTAATTTAAGGAAAAGTAGTAAAGGCAGCCAGCAGGGAATGCTCCTTCCCCCTCTCTACCACTGCATACTGTTAAATTTTAGGTCCTGAAATAAACCAGCCTGAGTTCCATGGAAAAAAATGGCCCAGTGTGAGAGTCAGGAATCTAAAAGGATCAGTGCGACACTACACACAAAGTAAACGTGTGCGTTGTAATCAGCCCTTTGTGTAGTCTTTCTGCTTAAGGGATCTGACCCTGCAAACTTTCAGGAGTGGCAGAGTATTTCTCCGTGATTTAACTGATAGCATGGATGATTTGCTATAGAGCTGAATATCTGTGTCACACAACAGAATATATACTAGTTCTGGAGCTGTAAAGAATACGTTTTAGCAGTAGGCGTGCTAGGAAAGGGTTTGCTGCTTAGTTGCTGTACTATGATCGATTGCCCCTCGCTGCTGCTCTGAGGATTTGAATCTCTTAGGCTTTGCTGGATGATGTTGCTGTATCAGCCTGCTAGGACACCTCTCCCCTGCTCTGTAGGGATCTTGCATCAATTTCATACATGATTGCTTTAGACAAGAAAACATAGTAGGGCTGTGTAGGACTTTACAGACTGGAACTCGAGTACATCTCACTTGTGGTTGCGGTTGGGGTAGAGTTACCAGCATAGCAGGTGCCCACTCTGTGCCTGTTGTATTTAGTTACCAAAACAGGACTGCGGAAAGCATGCATGCTGTTTCATTGTGATTCTTAAACAAGGCCGTTTGGCATATACCTTTGCATATTTATAGATGTTAACAGAGTTCTCCATGCTGATCGTCTGGGCACAGAGGATTTCACAGTGTCTCTGGAGGCCGTCCAGTTGAAACAGGCTGGCAGCCGACAACAGCTATCAGGACAAGAGAGAAGCTATTTGAGATCATGAGCCTGGGAAGGCAAATGGACAGAACTAATGATTTCCTCTCTGAACGATCTCTGACTCCCCATCTTAATGGCCAAGTCCCCGTGAAAGAGCAGAAAGGCCACTTGATGCCTAGCTAAAGCGACAGACTGACTTCCCCTCTTAGTAAAGGCTTGCTGCTCCTGCAGGGAGTGTATTTGTGCTACCTTCTGTCACCTTGACATATGAGCTCTAGACTGCTCAAAGCCCCCTTTCCTCTCAAAAAAAAAAAAAAATAGCTGTGTAGTCTTTAGCTGCAAGCTTTAATTTCACCAGACTACTCGTGACTGAGCAGCATTATTGTAAAAGGCCCTGTTTGTAATGGGGAAGTGCTCTTAGTCCAGTCTTTGCAGTACCATCAGCTGCCCTGCTGAAGTTCAGCTTGAAATGGGTCATTTCTCTACAATCTGCAGCCCCTTGGTGTTCAGCCTGTTGCGGGCACCAGAGCTGGTGAATCAGCTGCACCTTTTCTGTGCCCCACCAAAAGTACAGCTTCCTTCTGCCTGCTTCCTTCTCCCAGGACCAAGAGGACATGGTACAAAGGAGACTTCCACCCAACTCTGGGGACCAAAAGCACTGTAAGTGATTTCCCTCCCTGCCACCACCCTCCCCCTGGCCCCCCCAGCATCTCATGGACGTAATAAAAAATAATTGATACTTCTTATTTCCAAGCAATGCTGTTACGAAACTTTAAGCTCAAAGTGTTAAGTATACTCCTGGATTGGAAGCTTGCTGTTAGTTCCTCGATTTTGCCTTTCAAGCTCTGTTTATGCCCCAGTGCACTTGGCAAGACTTAGAAGAAAACACTCTCACCTCTAAGATATCAGTGGTGGGAATTTCCATAGATTCTGTTCCTCCATAGTATAAGTACTGCATCAGCATCTGAAACGGGAAGAAGGCCAGGCATGAAGCTGTTATCACCGAAGTCACAAGAGGCTGTGAATGACTGAGCTCCCCTTCCTGAGCAGACGGGAATCGTGTGGTATGCTGGCTCTCGCCTCCACTGTTGGCTTTCTTATGGTGTTGCAAATCTGCTGCTTTCTAATACTCCTTTCTTCCTTGGGCTCTGAAAAGGGCCTTGTTGAGGATTTTAGGCCGAGGGTGACAGTGTGTCTCGAGCAACGCAAATGGCCTTGTAAAAACAGTTCCTCGGATCCAGTTTTGTAAAGCCTTGCAGGCTGGTCACACGCAGAGCTGCCAGCGAGCTGGAGCGCTGAAACTGCCACGCCATGAGCATGTGTGTCTCGGGGACCTCCCAGCCACTTGCCTCCCCTGCTGTGCTTCTAATCAGCTTCCAGCCCCCCCATCAGGGCCAGAGGAAAAGGCCTAATTGTTTGCAGGGAGAGCTAGAGTCCGCTTCTGCTCTTTGATCTACATGTGCACACCCCCAGCTAAACCAGTACCCTCTTATCTGGGGAACTACTAGATTGGGTGTTGGAAAGAGAAGTCATTCCAGTGTCCTGGGTGCTGTGTAAGCAGGTATGGGGGCTGCATGCTGTGCTTACCATTTCTAACAGTAGTGGTAACAAAACTAAGCTTCTACTTTTAAAATTGCCTTATTTGTATAACGGAACTACAGGGGAGCAAAGCTGCTTTCCAGCAGAGCCCTGAGCAGAACACAGATCTCTGGTGCCTCAGCATCCTCCATGCACCATAACTGAGCTTGCTGTAGAATGCCATCATCTCCTTAACTTGTTTGATTTTATTTACCATCACGTTGTTTAATTCCATGAAGTATTTAACTTCTTTTTGATTTGTTGCTCTCTCCAGTGAAGCAATAGTTTTATCTTTAGAAACCTTTTGATGTAAAAACATTAAGGAGGCTTGTTTCAATATACTCAATTGCATTTTCTTTTTTCTGTCATGGCCTGAGCTGCAAAATTTGGATGTCATCTATCCAACACAAAATGTGTATAGCCCCTTTCAAGTAGAACAAAGATGTTCTTATGGTCAACATCACTCCCTCTAAGTGCGATGACTACTGCTGACCAACAGCTTTGCTGTTTTGTTTGTTTATAAAAAAAGGAAAAGCCTCAACCCTGTAGTGAAACAGTTATACAACCTATTCTGCCCTTCAGATTTCCCTGTTCTGTACCTTTCATCCAAATTTGAAATGCAGATCTGGAAAGCTGGAATAACTTAACTATCATATTTCACTGACTTGGTTTTTTTCCTTGGGTGTGTATAAAGTAACCTGCTTTCCCTCCATGAATGAACCTCCCTTAGGTCCATTAAATACAGAAATGTCATAAAAGCAAAGTGCAGTTCTCAATTTTAAGCCTTTCTTGAAAGGGACACCATTGATTTCTGATCATCTGATTTGAATTAATATGAAGCCTGGCAGTCCACCTGCTGTAAATAAGTTTACTTTTTGCTTAGCACAGCATGAAAATGGTGCCTTAAAAAGTACAAAACTATTTTCCGTAGAAGACTAGTTTCTCCTGCTTTATGGAAGAGTCAGCTGCCTAGTAAGAAAATAAGAATATAGGCTGGAGGTTTCTGTTTTAAGGTTGGTCCTAGCTGAAAAGTTTTGACAAAGATCAGAATACTCTTGAAATACAGGCATGTTGAAATGAACTCCATCTCTACTTGTAAATTACCTATGATATTAAGCCTTGGCTTAGTCCTAGCTTCCAAGTATGTGAGGAGAAGAATAAACAAAAGGTAGAATAAGTTACATACCTTGAAAATACTGTATTTCATATCGCTGATTTCAACAGTCTTGCTGCCATGGCTGTCATGTTCTGTTTTATTGGTCATTAGCGTCTTAAACCTGAGAATGGTTTTAATAGATTTCTGTATTAGTGCTTCACATACTCGTTACCTATTGACAAACAGCCTAAGCACGGGGAAAATAAAGATCCTTCCTTGTTCTTGTTTGCAAGGTGAAAATTTAAACTTTTCTTTCAATTTACTGATAATTAGTATAGAACTTCAGGCACAACATAATCTGTAAATTGCTTGGGCCTGAGCCAATCCCACCCTATAATAATTGCAAAACACAGTTACTATGCCAATAATAGAGAAAGAAACTAATAACTGCAAGAGTACCCGGTCAGGGGTGAGACTTCCAGAAAATCTGGAGCAAGTGTAGCTCTAGCTAGCAAACTCGGGGAGGGGGAATGAAAGGGAGGAGTGAACAGCTGGATATGTACGCTCCAACTAAGGCACAGGTTTTTAGGGATGATTACTGGTTCGTTTGTCAACAGAGCTCTGGGAATCTCTAACACATACTAGGAGTGGCTAGAAAAACTCATCTTTACTCTCCTACTATTCTTAATAGTAGCAAAGAAGGTGTGGCTTGGTCCTGCAGACCTGCATTATGCGCTGTAGTCTGTATCCTTAGCAGCTGCCTTACTGCAATGAGTGGGACAGAGCTAGTCACACAAATGAGAGACTAAAGGGCCAAACTTTCCTTTAACATTTAGCTGTGGAAAGCGACTCACCTGTTAGATGCAGTAACCAGCAGGACTTTGTGTGCATAAAATAGCTTTCCTTCTACTAAGAAAGTTACATCAGACATTTCTTTATTGTTTAGGAAGTGAGGATCTGTTGGGGTAAGGGGGGGGAAAAAAGGGGTGAATATTTTTTTAAACTGTGGATGCTTTTTTTAAAAAAAAAAATAAATCACAAGAACTTCACTGTTTAGGTGAGTATCTTACCTAGGCGAGCTGGCAGTGTCTTTCGGATTTCAGGGATGCTGGGTATCGGACTGCTGCCATAGCAGTGGGTGAAGATGGATGCGAGCTGCTGATTGATAGAATCATTCTGTAAGGAGGATGGAACAGGAATCATCAATCTGGCACTTTGTATTGAGCAGGTTTCAAACATGCTGTAACAGTTCACTTGAGCCTTATAGCAACTGCACCCTACAAAAATAACCTCCAAACAGAGGGACAAGAGCATGATCTGAACAAGTATGCTCTGACAGAATTCTCTCAGCAACAGTTTTTGGGCCAACCTCTGCCAAGGGAAAGACTCCATCAGCAGAAGCTCATCTGTGTAAGAGGTAAGCCCACAAGTGTGTCCTCAGCAAGATTCAATTCATGCTACCAGTTCACTGTCAGATACCAAGTCCCCATTCCTAGTTGCAGGTGTTTTTAGTAAGCCAGTTATATCTCTTGCTTTTAATTTAAAGGACAGTTACGGTGTACGTTGTAATGACCTATTATGGAGGTATCAAGGGCTGTATAGACTCCTCAGCTTCCCCCTGTCTGTGCATTTCAAATGTATCCCGTCTACAGCCAGAATGCAGGCATCACCCTCCTAACATGAAGGACGACAGCCTCTTGGAAGAGAACATGGTAGAGACTGGGTGAAATTATCTGCAAAATGGGACAGCTAAACTATATACCACACATAAAATCCATTCTAGACATGCCTTGAAAAGCAAGGAAAAAAAGAGTCATAGGCAACCTTTAAATAAAAGAAAGAACTAGAAGGAAAATGTCACTGAACAAAAGCATTGTTCAGAAAACTCCTAGAAGATACTACTGGGAGAACCTGAATTGCCCAGTACTGTATTGATAACTCCTCCTCTTACATTCACATGGTGTCAAAAGCCAGTTGCTGAACTGGACTTCAGCAGAATAGCTTTCACTTCTATTGAAATTAATGTCTTTACTGTGACGACTGCATATGAATTTAGATAAATGCTACTGGGGCCACTTTCATACCATAACTCATTAGGGACTTTGTGTAGGCGTTCACTTGTTCTTCTTGTGCACTACCTTGTGCAATAGCAAAAAACAAACACTTGATTTTGATACTGTTACAAAACGAATAATTACTTTGCTGGTTTTGAGGATATCAAACATGAGCTGCAACCCTTCATTAACCAGTTCTTCATTATAGTCCTCTTCTTTAATGGTGACAAATTCCCGCAAGAGGGTCTGTACGACTGAGTAACGAGACTGATAGAAGGTTGTCCGTAGTGACTCGATCCACACATGGAGTTTCCATGGGACTCCTGTAGCCACAGCAAAAAAGACAGTGAAAGACAATGATTTTCTGAAGCACCTGTGGGTAGATTGTCCTGCTGCTGTTACTAACACTTAGTGGCACTGATCTTTACATACACCCTAACAGCAGATACATTTTTGTCTTGATATTAAAGGTGACTGAACTGGGTCACTGACAGATTAAGTGACTTGTCTACAACAGCAAAGGATTGGTACCAGGACTGTAAGTTGGAACTTTCTGCTGATTGTTAAGGACCGGAGGCTCCCTATTGTGTATTTAGCTTCATGATTAGTCAGAATTACAAAATAAATTTGAACTGAACTTGTAAGAATACCTAACCCTACACAAACATGGTGCGAGGTCTTTTCTCCTGGTTACCTCTAACAGTCTAGACGCACAAGCTTCAAAGCTTCTCTTTCCTACCTTTAGATCAAATCTATTCTTTTACCTTAAACCATTTAATCTCTGATGTTATCTTTGTTTTTGAGACCAGCCTCTTTACCCCTGAATTTTACGTGTCAGAGTGTCTGATGAAGAGACATCCCCCTTGCTTTTGATACTTGGGAACAGAGGATCCAGCCAAAAGTGAGGGACATCCCAGATCAGTCAGAATTTGAAAAAAAAACTTGTGAGGATCCTTAAACACTTTTTGATTTTAAATTGGACAACTGGTTCCCATGCGCTTGGAATAGCTTTGCAGTTGGGGTTACAGATTCTTCTCCAAGCAAAAGGGGCAGAGGAAAAAGCTTTTGACGCCTTAAATGCGCACAATGCTTAAAACAAACACCTTACCAAGTGCCCTGAGCTCCATGGTGATGTCTACGTAGCCGTGCTCAGCACTGTAATACATGGCCTCCTGCAGAGCCTTCATTCTTGTTTTACACAGCCTGACTTGCCCCTCGCTGGAGCTGCCCTGGCTGGAGGTGTCACTCTCCACTCCCTCAGCTAAAATCTCCTCCAGTGAGAGCACATCTCCCTTCAGTTGCTGGGGCTGGGTCAGGAGCTTGCGCAGAACATTCCTGAGGAGGAAGAAGAGATATTGCTTATTAATAAATAAAGTATCAACAATTCTGACAGGACTATGGTGATTTGGGTTTAGGGGTCTGGCTTCGTAAATAATAATTTGCTTGCCCGTGCTAGACAGCTGGCAGATATGGAGCAGCATTTAAACCACTTGTCCTTCCCTGTCCCACATGCTAGAAACTGATGCCCTGGTAGCAAAAGCAAAAGCACGGAATATACTCCTGTATCTTAGTGGTACCCGGGCATATTTCAGAGTTAGGGCAAACTGGGTTTTATTGCAGTCTATACTTTGGTGTAGAAGCACGCTTCCTTCTGCCAGCCGTGAGTGTGGTAACATCTTAAGCTCTGAAGTAAGATTTACCAGAGCATCTGTTAGAACCCTTGCTGTTTTCCCAAATGACCATCTTGAAGCACTGTTACGTTGTTTTAGTCAGACCCGCTTCCTGTATCAGTAAATAGAAACCGTAAAAAAATGACAGTTCTGCATCACTAAATCCAGGGAGAATTTTTTTGGTTTGGAATTTCACACAGCAATTGCAAGAAAGAGGCCTTCATGTTTGTGTCCAGCCACTTTAGAAAGCTTGCATCATTGGTGTCTCTACAGACAGCTGGAACCATCTGCAGCAGAATTCCTCATCCTAGCAAATCCACCCGAGTACTCAGCTGTGACGCTGAATTGCCACTAGCTGGTGCTCTCTTTGCACCCACACCACTTGGTATGACTAAAACCAGTTAATTTTGTGCTTTCGGATCCCCCTGCCCTATCCGACTGGAGAACAAGCCTTGAATTTCACAGTTTGCATGGTTAGATGGTGCAGAAGACTGTGGGAGGGGAACAGAATTGGGAACAGAACAGTGTTTGTGTAGTTTTACACTGTAAATCACTGCATTAGGCCGTTCCAGCTTTGCAGAGTTTAGGCCTCATTTGAGCTTGGGATGTTTTCCCTGGTGTATCCAGATGTGCAATGTACCTGGAGGTGCAGTTTTGGCACCACTGTAAAGCACAGCTGTGTTCAAGCAAGGTAGCTGCTATTTAACATACTACTGAAAGGGCCAGCTGTACGACCCTGTGGGTATCTCTCAGCCCATCTACATGGGCAGTTTCAGGGCTGTTTTAATTGGCTTGTTATGCTAACATTTTGTTCTGGGAACAGAAGGATTTCTGGATGAGTTTGTAAGTAATGTCTTATTTCTAAATAACTACCCTGAAAACAAGGGTTGGAAAGCCCAGGCTGGCTCTGTGGCATTTTAACGACTGATCTCTTGGTCAGCTATCCAAAAACCAGAGATGCAGTCAGGCAAATTCTGCTGCAGATTATTTTTGCCACCTTAACAGGATTAGATTCTGTCTCAGAACGTGAACCACAATCTCATAACCTACTGCGAGGTGGAACTTAGTCTGCTCATGTATGGCCTGGAACCAGCTCCTACTCGCTCTTGGTGTTGCAGAGCTAGGCCAGCAAGTGAGAGAGTAAGGAAAAGCAAAGAAAGATCTTTCTGTTGTATTTTGTGCTTTTGACTAAAATATAATCCCCTTTTATCAAAGTTATAGCTGCTGAATAATTAATGCCTTGCATCATTTTTTCTCAAAGGGATATAACAGAGAACAACTACCAGTTTAAAGAATAAATGCTCAAAAGGCACTACCTACATCGGAATCAGAATAGTCTGAGAAACTGTGCTGCACTAAAAAATGGTTGCTGTCTGGGGAGTCTTAACATCATCTTCTGAACTGCACACCCGAGGATCTGGGTATAAGACACATAATATAAAGTCACATAGGAATACCTACAGTGATAGCCTTAGGCAGAAAAACCCTGTTCCGAACATGAACGGAGCCTTACCTGTGCCCATGTGCAGCTGAGTGACTGAAGCAATTCATATCTTCATGAAGCGACGAAGACATACCGTTGACTTCCAACATACTCAGGAGTGGATCAGCACCCCTACTTAGCAATAAGCTGACCAACTCGTAGTTCCCTAGGAAAAAATTGACAGAAACATAATGATGATTCCGTGTCTATTACCTCTTTGAAAGCACATAACACAGGACCCGTAACAGACAGACTGTACCAGCAACTTTTATGCTTCCAGCTAAGGCGTTCAGAGCATCCTGCAAGCATGCATTAGGCTTTTTGTCTTTGTAACATCTCAGAGAGAGAAACTGAGTCACAAAGCACCTAGATTACCTAATAACGCACAGCTAGCTCGAGGCAGAATGAAAAGAGAATTAAACTGGTCTGGCGTTCTCGATGCGCGCCAGCAGAGATGTAGGCAACCAGTTTAAGTAAGATCAGAGTCTCGGCTGTTCAGCTGGTGGATGAGGATAACAGAGAGCGCCAGACGGGAGCTGCTCTATGCTGCGCTTGCTGGCCACAGCTTCATAAAACCACCCTGCAGCCAAGTATACCAGTGCAGCCCACGTTCAGCCAGGCCTCCTTTTCACCATTTTCATTAGATGTAGTAGTAAGTGGTGGCAAGAGAGCCAGCACAAAGAGTATCTGTCATTGAAAGGGGAGGAGGCTGGTTTTTTATCCCTTCAATAAAGCCTGGTACAGAGCAAGCCAGAGACTCGTCTTCATAAACACACAAAAATGAAGCAGAAAGAAATGGAGGAAAAAAAGTAAAAACAGTTAGAGGTGAGGAGTGTTGAAAAACCACAGGTGCTTTTAGGCTAGCACAGACTTGTTCACAGAATGCTGAATTCCTGATGGTTAGGTAGAAGAAATGCAGAATTTTACTTGTATTTAATAAATTAATAAAACAAATTTCTTTATATAGCCGTTATTTTTCCCCAGGCTGAATTTAAACTTGTTAATTTTTGCATCTGGAAGTTATTTAGATCCAAGACATGCCTAGACTAGACAGTAGCTGTTTTATGTTTCTTGACAGTGCCCTGCGCAAAGGAGTTGTTTCAGTCAGCTTTACTACGGAGGCCGCTGGCAGGAGGTAAGTGTTGGGGCTGGTTGCAAAAGCAGACACTCATTTAGTGCCTATCAAGCTCTTGCCACATAACGACAGCTGTTAGTCGCTGCCAACCCAGACGGGGTTCCTACTAGTGTTTTAGAAATGAAAAAAATGCCAGCTTTTTCGTAGCCAGCTCACTGTGCTACCCATTTGATATCTTTATGGTACCCACGGTACCTTAGAACGCGGTGCAAAGTGACTCCTAATGCATTTTACAGACATGGGACCCACGCGTGAATTGGTTGGGGTTATTCTGTGGTAGCAAGAGCGTGCTGAGGCTGCACTGAGCCTACCTGCTGCTGAAGCCAGCTGAAGAGGAGTCTCAGCATAGTTGTCTTCTCCACTGTTAACGGCAGAGCCCTCAACGTGGGCACCAGCATCCAAGAGCAGCTGCAACAGACACATGAAAGATGATGAGTTGAGAAAAGAGTAATTCAGAAAGACAAAACAGAAGAGGCTGTGTGTTCGAGAGAAAAACCAGTAGATTCATAATGAAGAGTGCATGCACACAAAGGGACCATCTCAAAGGCTAAAGCAAAATATCTATTACAAGGCAAATTTTTCTTGCATTCCCTTGCTCAGCCGAGAGCTAAAGTCTCCACATGAATGTCCATTTAGAGTTTTCTTCTTGTCTTTTGCTTTACTGTGCTTTCAATATTGACTTTATGCTGGAAAGGTGCTCAACCGGTGGCTTGGAGAGCATCACCTCCTTTTTTTTTTTTTTTTTTTTTTCTTTCTAGTCTCCTTTATGAATGTGGTTTCACAATTGTAATTTCCCAACTCCAAAGAGCTCTGTGCTCAGAGCTTCTCTTCAGTGCAGGAAGTCCATCTTATTCAGTTTCACGCTGTGCTCAGGAAACAGGGTTCCTGCAGGGAATTAGCCCTGGAGGCCAAACATACTTCTTGGTCTCTTGGCCAAACATACCTCTTGGTCTCTCCGGCCCCGTGGAGCCGGCATAAGGAGTCCCTGGCAGCTCCGGTGATTTGCCGCATGCAGAACCCTGCTTTCGTTGAATGCACCGAACTGCTCGCGTGGGAAATTACCCCCCTCCCGGATGAAGGGGAGAAGGTTACAAGATGATGGGGAACTTTAACGACCAGCGAGGGCTGGCAGACGGCATCAGGGCACCCAGAGCACTGTTTGTAGGTGCTGCCAGCCCTGGAGGTTCTTCCCCTGCGCAGAGGAGTCCAGCTGGCTGTATCCTCTAACACGGTCACAATTTAAGTTTCAGCCATCCCCAATTAGTGATGACCTTGGCACAAACAGCACATACCTTCACATTTTTACTGTAAAACTTTTTGCAGAGCAGAACTGCCGTTTTGTTTCTCTCTTGAGATGCCAGCTATTACATGCAAATATTGCGTGGTAGACCTTAACTGGAAAGGCAATTTTATACACCAATTTCAGCAAAAGCTGATATCTACCCTTTTATTAATAGTTGCCGAATGAAAAAAAATTATGTAATCTTTAGAAGTTTTAACCAAAATAAAGGAAACAAACATGGGAGCTCCATCAGGAGCTCTGATATACTTGGCTACATTTCCTGGGAGAATCACACACTTATCTCACATGTAAATTAAGGCTGTCCAACCTTTGTAATACCAAAGGCTGCCCTGGCAATTTGCCAGGTGGAATCTAATCTTTGTAATTACTTACAAATGTACACAAACAAAAACGACTGTGTGCAGCCTCCATTTGCTTACACCTTTTTTTTTTTTTTTTTTTTTTCCCCCTTTGAGCAGAAGGTAAATAAAATTCACCAGCAATTGACTATCTGCTGTCATCAGTTTTGAATTCCTCTTGAAGTTCAGGTAGGATTTCCAGGACTCGACCCCATTCCGCTACCCACTGCGTTAATTCCCCAGAAAAGGGAGCCAGCAGGCTGCGAGAGGCTCAATTCCCACGACAGCTTAAATCCTGTTCATGCAATTCTCCAGGATTATACAGGAAGTTACAGATCGTTTGCTGCCATTAGAGCAGAAATCAGCATACACTGAATTTTTGCACATGTGAATTTATAAGCCATTTAACATCTCATGTCAGAAAGTGTCCTGATCAAGCAAGTCTACCTGTAACCACTCCGCACGAAGCGCTAGTTTATCTAATAGCAGAGAAATGATTGTGCAGTATTGTTCTGGAAGTGGTAAGCCTTGGACCAATACTGAAACCAAAGAAAAATAAAGGAAACATACTGTGTTTTGTTATCAAGGCCTTGCTAGGAATTATGTCATCAATTCACAGTTCCCTGAGAAAAGCATCAGTTGCCTTCTCATTTCCAAAGCATGCAATTTTTCACTGGTTTTTAGAAGGCTTCCACCAAGCTGCACGTGGAGCCCGTGACAGACCCGTGCTCAGGAAGCCTGACAGTCTCGGCTCCCAGCGCTGCCCTTCAGTCCCTCCGTGTCTCCTGTAAAGATTCCCAACCAGGGGATTTCTTCTGCTTACCTGAACAACAGAGATGTGCCCGTGTAACACAGCAAAGGTAAGAGCGGTCCAGTGCCGGCTGTCAGGGTGGACTGACGGGTATCGTGGAGAGGTACTGGGAACCTGGGAGAAAGGAACCAGGTAGTTATTAACCATTGCAGTATCTGTCTGCCGTAATCTCTAGACTGGTACATAACTGGCTTTTTTTCTTTGTAAATGACAACCCCAGGGAATGGTAACTTACGCCATTTAGAGAACACTGCCAGCACTAGTCACTCTGTCCAGTCCCCTGGGCCTTTTTAATGGGCTTATTGGTTTCTCCTAGTGGCAGCTCTTTCAGGAGGGAGGCCCCTTTACCCCCAGCGTGCCCATTAGATTTGCCAATGCCAATCATAATTGGAGGCACTGAGTGCTCCAAGAGGTTTTGAAGGTTTTCTTCCCCCTCCCAAATCCCTGAAGCAATGATTTCTGAAAGAAATGGCTTGCTCAGAAGCTTCCAGAAATGAAGCCTTCAGTTGCTAGGAGAGATTTCATAACTGCTCTTGTTAGTTTACAGATGAATAATTATGGGGAGAGGGTCCTCTATTACTCACTGGTATATCTAAATTTGCTCCAGCATCTATAAGCATTTGGACCATGGCTTCATCTCCAGCAGCACAGGCATACATCAGTGGGGTCATACCCTTCAGGAAGAAGAAAAAAAAAAGTTATCTTTCTATATCTATCAACAATGAAGCTGTCACAGACACAGTGAGTTTGAATCTTAACGTACAGAAGAGCGTGTGTGCATGTGAGTAGGGAGAGCATATGTATACATTCAAAACATTTTGGGTTTTATGCAGAGTGGGCAGAATGCACTAGTATTGGAATGTGATGCGGACAAAACATCAGGGGACAAGATTGCAAGAATACAAAAGGGATCACTGAAAATCCCAGCCGCGTATTGTCCACAATTCTTGAGCCTTCTCAAGGCTGCCAAAAAAGAAATACCATTTCTTGGATCATTTGTAGCCAGATGAACCGAAAGCAGAAAACAACACAAAAATACACAAGATTAATTTATTTGGCAACTTATCCCCATTGCTAAAATCCTATTTGCCACAATATTTCAGCATTTCAATCCCATAAATCTCTCTCTCCACTTAACCAGCAAACCATGACGGCTCAGAGATGAATTATGAGAGAAACGAGCCTTACTTACGGAGTTCATTTCAGAAGTAGCCAAGGACAGAAAGGAAATGGCCTAGTAAAATCCATTCCAGCTCACATCCTACAGCTTTTCCCCCCTCCTTAATTATTGCAAGCATTTCAGTTTTTCACAGGCAGCATCTCTGCTGCTCATTGTGTAATAATACAGGTTCATCTTTAGAGATGGACATGGATCATAGAATTACACCTCACACTGAGGAGTTCTGATCTTGTATCTGCAAAGGTGTCTTTTCAAAACAGCCATGATTCCAAGCTTCCTGCATTTGAGGCAGTTACATTTGCAAAGATGTTTTGATGGCGTGGGGAGGGTGGGGTTTGGCTTTTGATGGGCTTGGGAGGATCCATTCTCATTACAGACAAGTAAACTTAACTGAGAATTCAAAACTCAGGTCTGCAGGCACAAGCCCACATTTTCTGCCACAGTCAGGGTTCTAAAACTACCAGGTTTGTATAGACTTACCTTTCCTTTTTTTTTTTTTTCTTTTTTTTTTTTTCCTTCTTTTTAATATCAGTTTTGCATTCCCTGCTTGTTCCTCAGTATGCAAAGGGAAGAAGAGATTGTTTTCCTAAACACCTCAAATCCTGTGAAACCAGAGTGCTGCCTGGTCCCCACTGGAAGTGAATACAGGGTCCTGCTCTAAACTCAGGTGTCTGAAGATATGTTCTGAATTCTCTCCCTCTCTAAAAATCTCTCTGTACACATACACATTGAAGTGAGTCTGAACACACACCTCAACGTTGGACACGCTCATGTTCTGGGAGTGGTCAACATCTGAACCTGGATCTAAAGCCTACAAGTTAAGTTAGTCCAAGGGTTCTGTCTGTCATAGGATTTGCACAAAACTTTTGCAGTACCCGTCAGGTGAGAGATGGTCACACCTGTTTGCCATGCCTCAGAGGTGCCTTGAGAAGACTCATCATGACCAAAATAAATCCAGATATATGAATTGAGCTTACTAGGTGCCAGTGTGGACACAGAGACCCACTTTCTGTTGCCACACCTAAGCCAGTTTTCCCAAGTTTGGGCATCTGACTTTAGCTTATTCCTGCAGAGGAAGGGCAAAAGCAGCTAGCTGCAAAGTTCAGATTTGGTTTCATATTCCAGCTACGGCAGAGTTCACTGCTAGACTTTGGATTTAACTCTATCTGGGATTGGTAGCGCAGTGGAGGACATGTAGCTGCAGAGATGAGTTGCTCCAGAATCACTTAAGCGGAGAATTTCGGAGCAACAATGTCTCCAGAGGGAGCCTGTCTTGCCCAACTTGGTCAGTGCCAAAACACTGCTTTGAGACATGGGAGCAGCGTTCTGCAAAGAAGACAGAGCTGCCAGCATGCTGCAATCCCCCTGTTCACAATAGGACTGGCTAGAGGATGACATCAATAGGATGACAATGAGACCATAAGTGACAGCAGAAACTCCTCAAACGTTCCAGTGAGTTGCCTACAAAACGCAGGGTCTTTATGCACACAAAAGCCAAACAGCTCCCAGTTTGCTGGCTGGCTGAAGAGAGGTAAAAAGCACCCCGCAGTGAGAAGTGATGGCCTTTGGTGTTAGGAGAGTAAGGTTCACAATGCGAAATAATCTGCTTTGAGAGAACAAAAGGCCTCAGGGACTACATAAACAGAAAATGCAAAAACTTATTTAAAAAAATAATACAGGAAGTGGCAGACCTTCCTAATATAAATCTGCCGCCTTTGTCACTTTAATAAAGTCAGTATCAAGGGCACCTATGATGCGATACCCCACCTCTGTGACCACAAAGCTTCTTGTATTGGCTACGTAAATAAGGCAACTACACACCTAAATATAAGCTTGTGCAGGAGTAGTTTCTGCTTGTATTTGTGTACACATTCACTCTTCCTTTAAAATTGCAGGAGCGTGGAAAGTACCATGGAAGACGTGCCAGTTTCAGAATTTGGTCTGAAATGCTACTGCAGTAAAATGCTGTCTATGAGAAAACCTCTCTACTTGAACGTAAATCCTTCCTACTGCTAAACATCCTATTGTTTCTTAGACATGACAGCACATTCTCATTGCTGTGACAGCTATAACGAGTGTTGACTTGGGGGAGGGTTTGTTTTGGTTTTTGGTTTTTGTTTGGTTTGTTTTTTTTTTTTTTTAAATTAAAAGCTAATTCCATGCATTGAATGATGCCCCAGAGAACGGACTCCGCTGTTACTTGACGGGACTGACAGCCCAAGCAGAAGCAGCCAAAGACTCCCCAGACTACCAAATCCCTACGGTTCAATGTAGCTGAGCAGGGAACAGGTAAAAACGAAAAAATAGACACATCAGTGTGATGGACTTTCAACAAAGCTAATTCTGAGTGATACCAACACCACTGGGATTCTCGGTCCTGTTTCTTATATGCCAGCCTGTACTGAGAACGTGTAACTACCTCACTTCGCACCTGAAAGCCATCAGACAGTAACACCTTTTGGTCACTCATCACTGACCCAGACTGAATTTGGGCTGTTGAACCAGAAGAGAGTGGCAGTGGCAAAACCCACTTTGTTTTGACATGGTCTTAGCATTAAGACAACATCAGACTTTCCATTCGCAGCCAGCGTATTAACCTGTCTTCCATCAGTGTCTGAGAGAGACCATCCAAGGAACAGACCTACATTCCAGCTGATAAAGAAACAATTCACTCTAGGATTTGACTGGCTTTTTGGGGGGTTATTTTTTTGTTTTTTTTTTTAAGGGATACATTTTCAGACTAAAACACAAGCTAGAATTACAAAAGCCCTGGAGAGGCAACTAACATGACCTCGTGTATTGATTTGCCACGTGGAAAGGAACACGGGATTTGTTCATGCAAAGAATTTGTGTGTGTGTGGTTATATGGCATACCTGATCATCCATGGTGTTAACCCCGTCAGGTCCCAGTGCATCGATTGCTTGGTTGATCAGATCTGTCCTTCCACAGTTTAGCATTCGGAAACCCAGATCCTGCTGGAATTTTTCAGTAGCAGCCTTAGCATCCAGTCTCCGGAAGGAACTAAAGCAGCATTCAGGTCTGTGAAAGACAAAATAATTTCTGAGGGTTTTTTTCTTTCTTTTTTAGCCCTGTCTCCTGCAGAAATCAGGCTTACGAATTTTCATGGTTTTACCTATAGTATTCCTTCCCCACTGTGTAATCATTTCTGAAAAATCTGGCTAACTTCACTCATACTGGAGATAGAAGTTTTAGTTCTCAGAGAAACACAGTAAGTTCATGTAAACACTGCAAAAAAAAAAAATTTAAAAAGGTGTCCAAGTAGAGAAACCTCATCGGTGCCCTCCTCCAAGGGAAAGGCAAGAAGAAATCCTTACTCCTTGCCAAGAGTGGCAGCTTCCAGCCAGGCCCTCGCTAGAAGGGTAGCTCTGGACCAGGCACTGCTTCTGCTACATCTTACCCAGCAGAACGGGAAAGGGATGCTGGAACATGCCCATACCATAACAGGCACCGAGCAACTGGGGTTATTGTGGCGGGACCGGTGTCACAGGCTGCAAACTGGCAGCAACAAGGTTTCCTTAGTTCTGCTTCTCACAAAACACCCCACCAAAACCCAGTTGTTTTAAATAATTAGCTGTATATATGTTGGGTATCATATTTGTATTTTCTTGCTTGTTATAGGATAGTCCATCAAACATACAGCAAAACGTACTGCAAGGAGGAGAAAGAGGTGGAGAGAAAGTGTTATCTAATAAAATACCAGTGTAGTTCTAGGATGAAACAATTACGCCGTCTGTTTACCAGACTAGTTATAATTTTGAAATAAAAGGCATTTCTGAAAGAAGATAATGATCCTTATTATTTTCGGGGGGGGGGGGGTGTGTGTTAAAAAAAGAAATCAAAATCAAATTTAGGTAGTGGAACATTCTCAACTCTTTTCCAATGCCTCAATAAAAGGAAGTATGTTAACATTTCTGTGAGGTTCTATTAAATCCTTATCCTTTAGATGACTATCAAATGACCTTTATCTCATTTGGAAGGAGTCCAGGGATTACTGTAAATCCTCTGATTATCTGCTCAGAGACTTCTGAATTCCAAACCTGAAGTGTATCTCCTTCACTGAAGAAACATTGCCAAATTGGAGGTGTTTCCTATCTCAGCTGGGTATTGATATGGTCAGCCCTTTGATGTTCTTTCAGGGTGAATGCCTTCTCTACTAGTTGTCTGGTTTTCAACAGAGGCTCTTGTGCAAACTCTCAGTGAGTGAGATATCAGCCTGCCAAGTTCCTTTGAAAAATGAGATTCTTTCAGCAAGGGTAACCTGTTCTGGAAACTTTGTACGGCCTGCCAGATAAGTAAAACACTCCTCACTTCACATAGAAGACTCAAGATGAATCTTACTCAAGTTTTAATTCAGCTGGTCATTTTTTAATGCTTCTGAACTTGCATTGATGGTGGATGACAAATGGTGAGCAGATGGTATGAACAATATGCTGAGTTAACAAAGATCCCTCCACAGCCTGGTGACCGGTCACATTGTACAGGGGAAACCAGCATCTCACCGCAGCTGCTTTCAGAAAGGAACTACATCAGGGTACGATTTGGGGAACAGTCAGCAAGGAAGCAAAACGACACTCTTGGCGTCACTAGCTCTTTGGGGATACATCTGCAAATAAAATGTGTCTCCAAGGCAGATGAGTACATCAGAAGACAGGATCTCTGAAGCACCCAGGTACTAGATTAGGATGCATACAGTACAGAGCTCAAGGAGACAGGAAGGTAAAAGGCTTAATGCTAGACATATATAAATCCTAGGGCTAGGCTAGCAAATTAGTAATCTTGTTCCACTAAGGTAATTGGTACGGTATCATGCTGCTACAAGATTATGTAAAATATGATGCAATGACTTTGTATAGCAATAATGAGAAGAAGAATCCTATGCAAAAAAGTGAAATAAAATGACTTCACTTGAAATCCAGTGAACCTCAGAAACTAAAAGCTTTTGAAGGGATGGTACCTGTCTTTGCACATTGTTTGTTTTGCTAACAGGCATGATTCCACCCAGTGCTATTTACAGGCACTGTTGGAGCAAGGGTGGTGGGGGACAATTCACCAACAAGCCCTGCAGAACGAACAGCAAAACAAAACAGTCGCACGGAGCTGTCAGAGAGATCCAGCAAAAAGGTGGATGTAGTTCTTGGTGCAGAGCTGCCAGGAGGCCAGTTCAGGCACAAGAATTTGAAGTTATAATTTGTGAGCTTTACTCCTGGGGGACCCGCAGGCTCAGCCCATGCAAAAGTTACTGTACATTTGCTGTTCTGTATCAGTAGCTTGACAGCACACTTTTCTATCATAGCTGCAAAGTAGCTTTTTCTTTTAGAGTGCAATAAAAGTTAGAGCATCCTACCAGAGCTGGAGGGAAAGAGCTCACACATGCACAACCGCTGTGCAGCAGCTGTAACCACAGCAGGTTTTCCATGTGTGAGTTGTTATCTTGTGGAGAAGAGAGGCAAACTCTTGCACACTTCCTAGAGTAAAGCCTGTGCTCCTACAGTCGCCCAGAGAGCAGCTCCCATAGATGCTGAGCTGTGCCCAGGGGATAAACGGAAGAACTGAAGGTGGACTGAGAGAAACTGAGATGGGGGGACAGAGCCCAGAGAGAAGGGAAAGGGATGGGGCTGAGGACCTGGTTTGGGAAGGGACAGCTTGAAGAGGGAGCAGGAGCCTGCTGAGCTCTTTGGGTTTCATAAGCAGTAACTGCTACTATAACTACTGGTAGTGAGTGATGTAAATTTGGCCTGCAGTGAGGAAAAAATATTTTTAAAAAGCAGTGTGTGATAACAACTTAATATTAAAATCCCAGCATTTATATTTAAGTAGGTGGAAAAGAAACACAGTTCTCTGTAATCTAGCATTTCCCCCCTTGCATTATCATTTAACCAGTAACAGGTGAGTACTGATGATGTTTCTAAATTGTCCAGCAAACATAAACTGAGAGCATCCTATTAGAAGGCTTCACCCACTAAGACACAACCACTTGTTGTGGAAGAGTATACTGCCCAATCAGTCCGTGTCAGGGAACAGATATTAGAGGTCTGAATTTCAGGTTATACTAATTATACTTTGTTCTTCTGCACAACTTCTCTTTCAGGGATTTCAACATACCCTACCTGATGCATCACCACTGCAAGGAACTATCATTATATGACTTTTAGCCTGTGCATCATGAGGAAAAGTGAGTTGCAATTTGCCTATAGTCGCACAGCAAGCCAGGGATAAAGTTGGCTTCAGTTGCAAGATTTCCTTTTCCCCTAAATGTGCTGTAATGGTGAGATACAAATGACTGCTTTAAAAGATCATATAATGGGCACTGGAAATGAGGCACTGCTCTCTCCTCATGGTGGTTTTCTGTTACTTTCAATCTTTCATGCAGCAAAAAGACAATGCTCTTTGTCTCATACCACACATCACAGGACATCCTTAAACCTCTGAAAATAAAACTCAGGCAAGACAGTTCAGAACAAGGTCAAGCTTAACTTTGATTTTTGTCCTCTACTACAGAGATGACGTGTGTTACTTGAAAGCAGAGGTTGTTTCGCCTGCAGGGAATGCACACTGCATATGTCCCTATGGAGGAACAGTTCAGTGAGGTAAAAGGTGTGAAAGGATCTTAGCTTTCTTACAGAATTGCCATTCTTTCTGTAATAACAACAAATTGTACAGGAACCTCTAACATACTCCTTCCCTAGGCCAGTACTGCTAACTCTTAACAATCCAGCAATTGCGTTATCCCACATAGTGTGGCTGAGGCCCTTTATACCTGCTTCTCACTTTTATTGATTGTCTACATTATTTTGGACCTCCTGGGTTGCTATCAAGACCTTCATTTCATAGCTGTATCATTATGGCTTCAGTTTGAAGTTACTGAGGTGAACTCCATTTTCACAAAGGCTGTCGCTAAGCGTCTCCTTTTAGCTCACGTCAGCAGCAAAATCAAACACCCAAATCCCTGCCCTCTTTTTTTTGGTTGTTTTTTAAGGTACAGAATCTATAAAGTAAGGGACTACCTGTGCTTTGTGCGTTAATGTGCACAAAAAACCAGTGCAGAGATAGGATGGGATGCCTTTGAAGCAGAAGGTTTGAATTCAGTTTTGAAATCAGAAGTCTTTCTAAAGGAGAGACTGAAAGAAAAACCATGAAACTGACTGGAAGTACTTGGGATTAGTTTAGTCTTCTGCGGTACTATTCATCAAAGAATTTCAAAGGTTTTGGCAAGCATTAGGCACATATGTAAAATTAGTTTAGCCATATTAAGTTGCCTACACTAGCACCTACCATCCACACATAAGCCAGAGTAGTGTGTGCTTTGACACAGAGCACACGTACGCTGGCAGAGAAAAGGGACAAGAAAAGTGTTCCAGGACTAAACGTACAACTGCTGCTTTGTAGATGCCAAGTCCAAGTTCAGCTGCTCCCTTCCAGTCTGAAGCCAAGGAGTTTAAATAACTGCTGAGGATCACCTGTTTAACTTAGTTTTTAAAGAGACTGGCAGCACTCTCTGTTGGTCAAGTACCACGTCTCAGGAGAGCGGCAGGAACCGAGAGCTGAGAATAAGACTAGGAGGCAGCTGCGGCCAACAAAACACTCAGTCATCTAATTGTACCACCATACTCGCCAAGTAATTTAGCTTCGCATTAGGTTTTGTGAGTAATAAGTACTACCCTTCAATTCACAAATGGGGAGACAGAGATGTAGCAAAAAGCAAGAGCCTTTCTGACTGCCAGAAGGAAAAGGTAAAAAGCAACAAAAACAGATCCGGGACTCCTGATTAAAAGCCTCTTGTTGCTTTTATTGTTCATGAAAAATAATTCTAAGAGTAATGGTGGTGTATTTTTATCTTTTCAGGTGATCATACAATCACTTAAGAGCACGATAAAAATATTATTTATTGTTATTAATGTGTCCCACCCACTCATTTAACCCAAAGGTAGATGGGGGACAAAATTCACTCAAGCAACAAGAATTTACCTTATATTAAAGTTCAAGATGTAACCCTGATATCAAAACCAGTGCTAATGACAGCAACTTAAAGGACTACGAACCTGAATAAAATATCTATGATGTGCTAATGAACCAAGCTAATTACAAATCCCTATTCAACATATATGCAAGGGGAAGATTTTAAAAGGTTCTGATACTTTTCATCAAGGTATCTCAAAAAGCAAAAGAATAATCTTGTCATTAAGGCTAAGGCATAAAACCCCAAATACTTGTATTTCAATCCTTCTCTGTCTCACTCTTCCTACGTAACTTTTGGCAAGACAAAGTCTTTCTACCCCAGCTGCAGTGTTTCACCAAAGTTTCTCTATCTCTTGGAATACTAAAAGGTTAAACATGTATCACCCATATAGTATTTGGAGCCCTGGCTCCCGTGAAATATAGTAAGAGGAATTACTTTAGCTGCTTATAAAGCTTAGTCCACATACTTTAGCTGCCGGGGCTCACAGTCCAGTCCGGGTAAGAGCAGTCTGGCTGTCTGCCTGATATCATCACTGTCCACAGTTAAACTGCGCCGGTGCTCAGCGTAGGTGATAGCCACTCTCATCCACTCCATCAGCGGCGGCAGAAGCATGAAGGGTCTGTGCAAACAAGGAAAAAAAAATCCATCACAGTTAATATTGGCCTGCTATCTTGTACTGCGATGCAAAAGCACACTTCATTGCTTCCTGGGCATGCTTGTGGGAGGCCGGCACAGATAAAACCCACCTGCAGAGGCAAACTCTGTCCCTGTGCTCAGCAAGACTAGCAGGTCACAGCAGGTGGAAGGAACTGGAACTGCTCAGCCTTGGTTATCTGAACTGCTTCTTACCCAAAACCGGGTCATGCCGGGACATGCTGGTTTTGTGAAATACGTTTTACCCTGTGGGAAATAGGGCCAGACTGAATATAAGGGACCTATTTCTAGTAGTAGCTATAGGTCAGGCGCCCCTAGCTCAAGGGGCCAACGCTTTGTTTTGGACCAGACGGGCTCTCGTCTCATCGGTGCAGCTTATACAATAATTGTGTCTGTTGTTCTAAATAATCCATATGTACAGGCTGCTCCACCACCCACTTAGTAACACTGACAATATTCTTGATTGTTTGAAACTTCAATTAAACCAGGCTAATTCAGCACTACCTCCATTGATCCTTATGTTACATTATCAGTATCCAATAGCTTTTCACATCCTACATTTCTTACATGCAGAGCTCAGGCCTCCATTTTTGCACAACTGACCCTCTGGACCACAGCAGAACTGTTGCAGCTATGTTTTAATGTGAACTGTTTTGCTAGGAAGGAATGAGTAGAATCAAAAAGGTAACAACTAACGTAGAGACATCTCTGTGCGAGAATAAATGTACAACATTACTTAAACTGTAAGCAATTTGTGGAAAAGCAATCTATCTGTTGCTAATTTGTACAGCATCCAACACAGTGAGGTTTTACTTGATACAAAGGGTTGCAAGGCAATGAAGGAATATAAATAAAGTAATAACAAGAGCAACAACAGCCACGGACTAGCTTATGAAGAGGTCCCCTTTACTCCTGCTATAAGAATGAACACAGTACTGAGATTACACAACAATATATGGGTACCGTAATACTCTCATACACCACATATCTCATCCATCCTCTCAAGATCGAGCCAGACTGATCTGTTATTTGCTTGGTTTTTCCCCAAGGATACCTGCCACCCTGGTGGAAGGCTCAGACGTGCCAGCTGCAATTGAAAACACCTTTCCCATTTCCAGTAACGAATTTATTAACGCTGAAAAAAAAGCCCTTTTCATTTAAGCGTTCAAAGGAAAATAACTGAGGGGAGAAGGTACCAATTCCTTTACAAAGTTCAGAGAAAAAAAGATACATACCAGAAAATATTAAATGATTTTGGCATTAATGAAAGGAGCTGAACCCATGAAAGGCATTTTCAAAGCTGTGCATGTATATGTGTGCGTACATATGCAAGCACAGTAAGAGTAAGCAGCACCAATCCCGTCAGAAACCATTTATCAATAATGGCATTTGCAGGCAGAACTCCCTTTGTATGACTTTGAACATCCTTCAGGGTGGAATAACTCCACTCTGTAAAATATGTGCCATCTGTTTCCATTTTGCCGGTTGCAAAGTGCACTCTAAAACACTGCCATTATTTCTTTACGAACGTGCGCAATTTTTCCCTCTGTTCCTTCTCTTCTTCTGAGTAACAAAGCAGCTTCTACAAAATCAGAGGTCCTTTTAAGCATCTGATCAATCCTGGGTTGCCAACACAAGGGTGTTTTTAACAGGACACCTACTTACTGCTTTTACCAGTTTACTTCTATGCCAAACAATCAAGACATCAGGGCTGCTACATTCACTACTTTGAAAATTACCCAGTAGCTCATCAGTTGAAAGACTTTCTGGAAGCCCAGCTTGAATTCCCCAACCTGTTTAGGCTTTCTAACTTGTCCCAGACACATGGGATGGGATGAATCCCTCCAGCGCAGCTTTAGAGTTGATTGACTTCCCTAAGGGAAGAGCAGCAATTCACCACAACAGGCATTTGGGAGAGGCATTTACACCTTTTAAAATTCAGACACTGAAGGGAGGAGCCTAACTGAACTCTCTAGACTTTCTAGGTACTCAGCAGAGCCTCTAGTATAGAGTTCAAAGCTGCTGAGGCGTGGTGAGGCCAGAGACGTAGGCTACAAGCACCAGAATTAAATACGTAAAGCTAGATGGGGTGAACACGTCAGGAGCGATGGAAAAACTAATCTTGCAATGGAAAAACGAACCTTTTGTGGTAGATAAGCTATTCAGGCCACATTACAGCTTCCCTGACACTTTCATGTTGGGAACACTGCTAGAAAGAAAACCACGTTGATCCAGCACAGTCCTGATGATCTTCTCAGGTAAGGAGCCAAACCTTGGTAACTGTTACACACTGCACTAGGCAGCAAGAGACTGTGGTCAGCCAACAGAAAATACCATTGAGTCTGCACCAGAACTAACACCTATCATGAAGAAATTTCCATTCTGTAAAAAAATTCACATGTGCCAGGGTTATAAATGGCTTCCATGCACAAGCAGACCTTGAACGTGGAAAACCTGGTTTCGGATGAATAGAAAGGAGAAAGATTTTTTTTTTGTTTATTTTTTTTAGTCTCAACAGATTTTTCCAAAGGCTTTAAAACTCACAGCTCAACAGACTGCCTAGTTACCCTGTGCCCAAAGGAGAGCAGACTTTGGACTGCAAAAAGAAATGTCAGGAAGGATGTTTTCCTCGTACTGCTATCCTAATTTGTCTCAACCCCACTACTCGCACTGCTGTGCAAGTTGGATAAATCATTATTCTATCAGGAGTGACTACAATGACTTTAATTTCTATTTGGCTCTAGAAGCTTTACTTCTCTTGAAAATTTCTAGCTTCAGGACAGGCTATCTATCCTCCCCCTGACACACCCACTCTTCTTTTATCCAACTATTTCCTTTCTTCATACTGTCCGCGTGGGCATGCTCATGGGAACAGCTCTGTGGTTTTTTGCTCACTGACACTACATCAGATAAGCTGTATTATCGCATGATCTGAGCAGAAAGAAAGAGATGCAGTTCAACTGAATGAAACTCCAACACTGGCATTGCATCGCACTAAAAATAAATGCAATTACTCTTCTTCTAGAAAATAAACACAATTATCATCCCTGTGGCCCTTAACCTGGGCATCTATCTCCCTCTAGGGAAACACTGATCATTTCACAGTCTGAAAAACACTGGAGGAGGGGAAGGGGAGAAACCTTCATGGAAAATTAACTGGGAGATGCTGCAAGCTAAAGAATTGATTTCTGTCTGTGCCATGTTCTGTACTGTGCATTTTCCTCTGGACTTTCTGACATTTAGAAGCATTTGGCAGCTCATTAAATTCTGCACATGAAGTGATCCAGCCCTGGGAATCTGTCACACTCGCGGCAGTAGCTCACTAGGGACACATACTCTCTGTTTTCTGTGAAGAAGAATGCCACCATGGCTTTGTTGAGTTTCTTGCCATGAAGTTGTCTTTGAGCAATGCCACATATAAACTGGGAAAGCACACAGCAGTGGAAAGTAAAATGGACACTGCTCATCTATTACACACCTTGTAAAGAACTACAGCGATGTCTGATACAGTCATGCGCTGTCAATATTTTATCCATAGGTTTTCTGAAATTTTCTCCATTTAGAATTGGACAGCCGCTTCCTTCCCAAGGGGATTGAGGTTGGAGCTGGGTGAGACATGGTCTAAGAAAGAATGGACTCTATTGTGGGCTTTTTCCCCTCATTTGAACTGAAACACGTTGTTTTATTTAGACATAACCGAGAAGTCTGATGGCAGCGGCACTTGGCAGAGAATTTATAGCAAGTTTTAAGTTTTTCCTGGAAAATGTACTATGCTCATCTGATTAGAATGACCTAGGACATGACTGGCATGTGGAGATCATGTGCTGCAGTCCTTGAGGAGATGCTGTGGGATCACAGACTTTCAGTGTTAACTCAGGCATCACAAAGAAACTGGCCCTGGGGCCAAGAGATTTTTGGCAGAGGGAAGTTAATTGTATGCAAAAGAGGAAAGACCTCCACAGGAGTTAGAAAATCATGTCATCCTTCCTCTGCTTTGAATGCTAGGACAACACACTCGGAGCTTGACTTTCAGAGGTGAGGAATACCTGCTATCTCAGAGGAAAACAGGAGGTCTTCCCAGAAGAAACAGCCATGCTATCCATGCCTGGGAGGTCCCCAGGAGGGTCCAGCGACAAGATCACTGGAGAAAGGAGGAGGAAGACAAGGAGACATTTTGCCTGCAGCCACCTCTCTTCTCCTCCTCTGGTATTTTTCATCGCCTCCTGTTTTGCTCCAGCAAAACAAAGAGGGAGCCAACAGTGACAGCAACATCAAGAAAGAAACACCGTGTTCTCCTAAACAAGAATCTCCTTCTTCTAAAGCAGGAAAGAAAACACTATCCCAACGGCAGCAGGTGAGAACAGCAAAATTTGTCTCCCTCTTGGCAGTCTGAGCTGGTCCTGAGACACACACGCAACAGACAGTCTCTCACCCAGCCTGTCCCATAGTCTTCTAAATGGTTTGACTGGACAGCTTTCTCTCCCCTTCATCTGTAACAACTGCTCTATAAGCCCCTGCTAACATTTTAAACACACACAAACTTTAGCATCACAAAGCACATGTAAATATCAGAATACTTCTGGTCCAAGTGGGGTATGCCACAATAACTCCCCTGTATTTGGTTTACTGAAAATATACAGAGGCTACATGCAGAGAATCCCAGATCTTTAGAGATCATTGTGATTTTTTTGCAAGGGACTGAAAAAAGAGGAAGGGAAGGGCTTTCAGTGCAGTGCAGTGAGCTAATATTTGAGTTTAATGCTGGAACGAAACTCTATGGTTCAGTCCCATTTTACCCTAAAATGACAGAGCTCAAAGTCACTAACACAAAGTGAGTTAAGAACACCTATAAAAAGCTATAGCTCAGTCTCACCTGTTCTCTTTTGTATTTTTTTAAAGGAATAAGCTTAAAAGTCATATTGCACATGTGCACACAGAGAAGAGAGTAATGTGACTAGCAGGGAT